GTGTTGCAAGAGGAATGCTCCTTTATCACCTGCACCCCTCAAATCAATGGACTGTCTGCCTCCAGCCTGCCTGCTGCCCACCCTGTTCACTTCTCTTCTTCTGATTCACTGCAGATGAATCCAGCTCAGGAGAGCTAGGAAGAGTGTTCCTTGTACCCAGTGAGGACAGGTATTTCACGCAGTGTCTCTGTTGTTTTTGTTACTATTTATTATTTTGTATTGCAGTAGCACTTAGATGCTTCAGTCAAGATTAGGGTCTCATTTTGCTAGGTGCTGTACATACACATTATTAGGGATAGTCTCTGCCCCAAATTGTTTCCAGTCCAAATAGACAAGTCAGAGTTTTACTCCATTACGTGCAGGGAGTTTGTCTTGCCAGTCACAAGACACAGGAAAGCAAAAGTTTAATGGCGTGTGATGTCACTGGAAGACAAGGTGGTTGAGGAAATATCTTTTATTGGACCAGTGTCTGTTGGTGAGAGCAACAAGCTTTCACGCTACACAGAGCTCTTCCTCAGGTCTGGGGAGTGTCACAGCTACATGCAAGATGGAACAGATAGCTTTTTAGCAAAAGTAGTTAGTGCATATTCTAAGGGACCAGTCACGTTGAAGTGGCCCATTAACACTCCTATAGTCATAGGATAAAAAGGGGGGTTAGTGCGTTACAGATTAAGTTGATCCAATAAAAGATATGACCTCACGCACTTTGTCTCTCTAGTATCCTGGGACCCACACGGCTACAGCAACACTGTATACACCAATGCGAGTCATTGCAAGAAGTCATTCATGCATCTATTCTTTTTCATAAGCTTTACTGTGACCCCCGATGGCTGCAAAGTCATCCTGGCCTGTGGCATCCAGTTTTACTTCCCCCCGGGTGCTGCCACCTCCTCAGTAACGATCCATTTCCAAACGCTCTCGCCTGACCCGCAGTGGGTGAAACTGAGGCACCATGACATCCTGCTGAGTGAAGTCCTGGAGCTGCGGCCTCATGGGGTTGTATTCCAGCAGGTAAGAACACGTGAGGGGCAGGACGGGGCTGGGCAGAACTCTGTGTGTTATAGCCCATCATGGGTCCATATGTGCAAATATGATGGGCCAGAAAATCCTTGTTAGTGGCCTGAAAGGATCATGTTGTGGGGCTGCCAGGCCTCAGTATGTTGACTGCTGGGATCCGTGAACCACAAATCACTGCTTGTAAATAGCCCCAAGGATCAAACTTGAAAGGGATTCTCAGCACCAGGGCAAATCCCCAAAAGGGCAGTGTCTTCCCTCCAGCAGCACGCTGTCCCCGCACCTTCCCCATTCCTTCTGCTATGATGCAGGCTGTTCTGTCAATGAGAACCTCCTCCCACCCAGCTCATGAACTCCTCCTAGGGGGAGAGCTGGCCCCTGGGGGTGATCTCCGTCTGCCAGGAAAAGGACCCATTGATGGACGCTTACATGAGTAGTCCAGTGAAGGCAGTCATGGCCAACAGGAGCTCACTGGCCTTTCTGGGAAGCCATTGCACAACATCCCCACCTGAGCATTGCCCGGAGCATAGCCAGGGAACTGGGGGCAGCGGTTCTGGCGGACTCTGGGGCTGGTGGGCTGCAGGAGAGAGAAGTTTTCAGACTCACCCCCCACTCTCTGCCTAAAATCTGCCTGTGGTGGATTGCACTTACCCCTGTGAGCGTCCCCCAGTGTCTGGGTGTGGTGTTGCCTACCTCTGTGGGTCTTCTGTGGCTTGGCCGGGTCACACAGCTCAGACCCCTTCTAGGGTTCAGCCAACTTGGATAGAAGCAGTCCCTTGCCCTTCAGGGCCAATCATAAATCAAATGGTTTCTTACCCTTCTGGGGCTTAATTCCCTCCCCAGAATTAAATCAGCAGGGTTCTTCCTGAGCTCCGCCCGCCGATTTGTGGCCAGCAATGGGCCCTGGCCCAGTGTGGTTCCTTTGCCTGTAGCCTAGGGAGCATCTCTCCTCACACCACCGTCTCCAGCCAGGAACTACCTTGCTAGCAGCAGGCAGCTCCTTTTCTTTTGGCCTTGTTTGGGTGTTGCTGGAGAAGAAGCTCTCCATGGTTCCCACAATGCCTGCTCCTGCGATGCTTCCCTAGGTAAGCCTAGAGATCTAGTGCTCACTGCTCTTTTCCTCTCAGAAAGCTGTTTCCAGGGGTGGTGGGTAGCAGAGCAGTGGGGCCTCCAGCGGGCAGTGGGGAGCACGGAGGCTTGCCACACCCCGTCACATTGGCCTCTCCTGCTTGCCCAGGTAAGAGAATGTCTCCAGAGCAGGGGTACCGTTGTGTTGGTGTCTCATGGCAATGCCCTGTTTTCCCCTGCCAGGAGGTGCAGATCTGGATGCCTTACACCTCCCCTCAGACGCTGCGTGAGCGAGAAGTGGTAGTTCGGACCTTCAATGGGCAGAGCTGGAGCGACCTGCAAACCAAGGTGGAGCAGAGAGGAAAGCCGAAGGTGAGCAGGTTGGATTAACTCCTGGTCATAGGCAGGAGATCTGACTTGCCCTGCAGCAGGGGGCAGGACTTGACTTTGTCCAGTCCCCAGGGCTAGCTTGGAAGCTTCTCATGAACCTGAGATGTGTCCAGTTGGTATAAAGGGATTGCACCTGCAGCCCTCATCTCTAATACAGAGGCGTGGTTACTAGAGCAGGGGTTCTCACAACAAATTTTTTGATGGCCTCAGAGTGCGGCCACCAACTCTCACTGGTGGCCACACTGACACTTTTTTTACCTAAAATACTTCATTAACTTTAGGAAAAGCAATTAAATATGCACAGATTCACAGCCAAATCATTGTAATGCGTATTTGTAGGGTTTTTTGGCAGACTCAATAACCAAAATAATGCTGCCTCCCCTTTCGGCCCTCCTGCCCCATCCAGGGCTTAGTGGGTCCTGGGGCTTGCTGTGAAAAGTGATATTTGTTAATATCACAGCACACTTAGTAGCTACCAGGAAGGCTATGAAAAGTGATCAGTGATATTAACAAACATACAAGTATCACTTTTCACAGCAAGCCCCAGGACCCATAAAGCCCCAGATGGAGAGGCCGAAGTGGGAGGCAGCAGGGGTCCAGGGCAATGGGGCGGGGATAGATGCAAGGCCAGGAAAGCAGAAGGGTCCAGGGTGTGGGGGGAATGGATACAGGGCCATGGGAGGTAGTGGGGGCCAGAGGCGATGGGGGTAGGTGATGAACCCCACTGTTGCATGGCCAGAGCCAGGGCCTGGTGTCTGCTGCCCTGCGGCCAGGGCCGGGGCTCAGTGCCCGTGGCCAGAACCCGGAGCTGGGCACAGGAACTGCATGGCTGGAGCCAAGGATCACAGCCTGCTGCCACGCAGCCGGAGCTGTGGGTCAGCACCCAGGGCTAGTGTCTGCACCGCACGGCCAGAGCCCGGAACTGGGTGCCGGAGCCCAGGAGAGCGTGGCTGGAGCCAGGAGTCAGCACCCAATGCTGCGTGGCTGGAGACAGCGCTCGCTGCTATGTGGCCAGGGGTTGGCACCTAGGGTCAGCTCCCGCCACCGCGTGGCTGGAGCCCGAGAACAGAGCTATGGGTCGGCGTTTGCTGCCTTGCAGCTGGAGCAGGGGATCAGCACCAGGGGCTGGAGCCACGTGGCTGGAGCTGTCGGTTGGCGCCTGTTACCGTGCAGCTGGGGCAGGGGATCAGCACCAGGGGCCAGGGCCGCATCGCTGGAGCCCGGGGCCAGCGCCTGCCACCACACGGCTGGAACTGGGGGCTAGAGGCCAACTGAAGCTCCGCGGCTGGAGCCAGGGGTCAGCACCTGCTGCCTTGTGGACAGAGCCTGGGATTGGCGCCCAAATCCCCATGCTTGGAGCCCTGTTGCCCTGCATCTGGGGCTGGGAGTTGGCACCTGTGGCCAGCGCCAGCCACTGCGTGGCTGAAGCTGGGAGCCAGCGCCTGCTGCCGCGCAGCTGGAACTGGGGGCTGGAGGCTGAAGCCCCGCACCTGGAGGCCAGGGCTGCGTGGCCAGAGCCGGGGCGGGGTCAGTACCTGCGGTCGGAGGTCAGGGCCTCATGGCCAGGTTCCTGAAGTCCCACCACTGGAGCCTGCTGCTCAAATCCCCTCCACCCAAGATGGGTCAAGAACTCACCACCCAGGAGGCTGTCGTGGCCGCATGAAAAGCCCCTGGTGGCTGCATTTGAGAAATGTTGTCCTAGAGACTACAAGCTCCGGAATGCAATTTTCCATCTCAATTTGGCATTGGACTGAAAGATCTGCTAGGCTGGGACCTCTTACTCCATGTTTTGTGAAGTGCTGCGGGGTACTGTGCTAAATTGAATCTGTGCTCTCCCTACCAGCAATCAATCCCGGGAGCACAACATGTGCTGCAGGCTCTCGTGTCCAAAATGTCTAGGCTGCTTCTGCAGTCTGTGCAGTGTGACTTATACCAGGAGTGGGGTATGAAAAGTCACCTCAAATGCCAGCTCTGATGGTGAAAATATCTTCTCAGGTGTTTAAGAAAATAGGCTTTATTGGTGGTGCTGCTTTGCATTTAAATGTGTCCAATACATCTGCATATATAGTGATGAAACATTATGAGCCATTGATTTTTTTTTCAGTGACTCCATTGACTTCAACTGGTGTCAATCAGTGTATCTGAAAGATACTGTAATGTGTCACTCAGCTGTGTTTTCTTTGTTCCCCACCTTTTTGTAACAGAAGCACATGGCTTGCTGTAGCATTTCCACATCTCCCGGTTCCTGGTCATCTCTCGGCTCATGGAGAATAAATGCAGTGTCCCATCAGAGGGGACCTTGCTCTTTTCCACAGTGGATCCAAGCATCAAAGTGACCTTCCCTCCTGGAGTCACAGAGGAGACTCGGAGCGTCACATTGCAGGTGTGTGTGCATGTTAAAACTAAAACACAAGCTCTGGTATTACTGCTGGCCTGTGCTGGAGATGAGAGTAGGCAATAGGATACATGCACTAAATGAGAAAGAAGGATGGGCCAAGTATCAGCCTGGGAACTGGGTCTGACTTGGCTTTAGGCACATCACAGAGCCTCCCTGCCTCAGTTTCCCCCACTGTGAAATGGGCTGGGTCATTAGATGTCTGGCAGGGGTTAGCACTCACATAGGCCATATGTGAAGCATTGTAACTTGTTAGGTTTCTCCCAACAAATTTTTGGTGGCCTCAGAATGCAGCCACCTACTCTTGCTGGTGGCCGCCTGACAATTTTTCCGAAAAACGTAGTTAACTTTAGGAAAAACAAATAAATATGCGCACATACAAGTCCAAATCATTGTAATAATAAGGTGTTTTTTTTGCAGACTCAATAATAATAATAACGTACAGTTGTCTCTATTCTTTACTGGACCTAAACAGAATAGAAACACAAGAACATGCAAAGCACCTTCTTTGTCTTTTTGTTGCTGTTGTTTCTTTTGCTTTTTTGGTTGCTGTTTTTTGTTTGTTTAAGAATTGCTAGCTAGTAGGTCTGCTTCTGTGAAAAGTGATATTTGTATGATTGTTAATATCAATTTTCACAGCAGCAGACTTGTTAGCTAGCTGGGAGCAGTGAAAAGTGATATTAACAAACATACAAATATCACTTTTCACAGCAGACTTACTCAACCCTGGCAAGCTGGGGGACAAATTAAGCCTTGGATGGGTAGGGAGGCAGTGGGGGCCAAGGGTGATGAGGGGGTTGGTGAGCCCAAAGACCAGCGGCCGGAGCCTGCTGCCTGCCACCACAGGGCTGAAGCCAGAAGCCTGAGCCCCACCGCCCACAGGAAGATGGGGAACTCATGCTGACTGTCTGCTCCTCCGGTGTTTGTGATTCCAGAGGGGGGAAGGACCCGTCCCCTCCTTGCAGAGCCTCCCATCCCCTCCCCCCTCGTTATCGCCCAGGCGGCTGTGACGGCAAGAAAAGCCTGTGGTGACTGCATTTGAGAAATGTAGCACGTCTTGCTGAGGTAGGGCCTGGTTTAATACCCAGTGGAGTCAATAGGTGTTAGGTTGGGCCCTGACTACCTCACTTCTCAGAGTGCTGAATACCTGCAGCTGCCACTCACCTCAGCTGGTGTGCTGGGTGCTGAGGAGTTCTGTACTCATGCATTATGGCAATAATTTGCAATGTTCTTCCCTTTGTATCCCCCCACCTCCTGCCACATTCCCCAAGGCTTTGACCTTTCCAGGCTATAAATATATCTGGGCGGGTCACAGTCTGGGGCTTGTGGGACAGGGGAGTTGGCAAGACCAATCCTGTACCCTGTTTAAAAAAACACAAACAAACCTGTCTCTTTCCCCTCTCCCATACAACCGTCCTTGATACAGTCCTGGCCCCTCTGTCCTTCTGTGGGGAAGGCTGGAGGGGGTTCTGCTCAGAGCCCTGCTACCAAGGCTCTTGATAAGCCAGCAGGCAGCACTGTCAAGGGACGTGCAGCTTTAGCCTCTTGCTTAGTCTCCAAGAACGAAAAGCATGACAGACCAGCTCAGCGAGTGAGATTCAGAGGGTTAAACTTTACTCTTATTCATGCTGTTCTAACTCTGAAGCAGCCCCATTAAAGTTAAGGGGGTGGTCGTGGTAGCTGTTTAATTAAATGTGTGACAGTAGCACCAAGAAGACTCAATCTGGATCAGGGCCCTGTTTGCCAAGTTTACACTAGTATAACTCTGAGCAGAATATGGTTCAATGATTAGGATTCACACTCCCACTTGGCAGCCAGCCAGTGCCACTGAGTCAGGCCTGGCATTTGAGCCGTTGGGGCTTGTAACCGTGCCTTCTTGGGTCACAACTGAGAGTGCCAAATTCAGGACAAACTGCTGAGAAATACGGCAGATACACTCCAAGACTGGTGGCTAATCCCTCATAGGATATACCAAACCGACAACAAAAGTAAACTTCTGTTTCACCACCCTGGCTAACAAGAAGTCATAAAAGCAGTTTCCTCAGGCATTCCCAGTCCTTGTATTACCACCGAAAACACTAGACTTAGGGCTGGTCTACACTTACCCCCCAAATCGAAGTAAGGTACGCAAATTCAGCTACGTGAATAACGTAGCTGAATTCGACATACCTTACTTCGACCTTACCGCGGTTCAGACGCGGTCCACACGCGGCAGGCAGGCTCCCCGTCGACTTCGCAGTACTCCTCTCGCTGAGCTGGAGTACCGCAGTCGACGGGGATCACTTCCTGGTTCGATTTATCGCCTCCAGACCAGACGCGATAAATCGAACTCGGAACTTCGATCCGCAGCCGTCGAACTAACTGGTAAGTGTAGACTAGCCCTTAGAGATGAGTGGTTCTTTAACGACCAGCCACACACCCAGATCAATATATAACTTAGATCTTACCCAAAAATCACGCTGGTTCCAGTCCTTTAGTATCTAAAGGTTTATTCATAAAAAAGAAAGGTGAGAGCTAAAATTGGTTAGAGGAATCAAATACATATAATAAATGAACCTCCTTGGTTCAGGCTTGCAGCAGTGATGGACTAAACTGCTGCAAGTTGGTAAGTCAAGTCTCTGGCTGCTTCCAAATCATTGGAAAGTCCTCCGTCCATTGGTTAGAATGCTCCCATTGGCATAGTCCAGAGGTTTGGGCAGGAAAGAGGCAAAATGGAGGAGTTTCCAGGGCCTTTTATCTCTTCTGCCATGTGGCGGGAATCTCCTTGTTCTTACTCTTGAAAAGTACAGTAACAAGATGGTGGTTGGAGTCACATGGACAAGTCACATGTCCATGCATTTCACCTAGTCATTGCAGGAAGCCATTACCTATACTTCAGATGGAACATCCCCAGGACAGTCCTTTCAGTGTAGATGGGTGTCTCCCATGGTCCATTGTCAGTTAAGTGTTTCTTGATGAGCCACTTAATTTGAATAGTCCCTCCAAGATGTGCTGGCTAAATACCTTGTGGGCATAACCCCAGGAGCAAACATTTGAAATCCAGGTATAGAGCCAATACTCATAACTTCAAATACAAAAGTGATACATGCATACAGATAGCATAATCAGAACCAGCAAATCATAACCTTTTCATAGACGCCTCATTTGATGACCTTTGTACAAGATTTGTTGCAAATATATAACAGTGGTTGCAACAATGATCGATGTGGTCATATTTTAATCAGATAACGTCACAAGGCCATTGCCCTCTTTCTGCCTCAATGAACTCAGGTATTCAGGCATCAGACGTTAAGCTGATTTGATTATTGTTCAACTGCCAGGTGTTGCCAGTGTCGGCAGAGGAGCTGGCAGAGATCACAGATGATCCAGAGTCCAGAGCCGGTCCCCTGCTCTGCCTCTCCCAGAATTCCACTGTGGATTTCCTCAGGCCAGTTAAAATTCAGCTCCCGCTACCTCCAGGGGTCACAGGTTAGTATATGCCCAGAAATGGCAATGGAAAGCTGTGCTAAAATCATACTACTTGGTAGGTTTCAGAGTAGCAGCCGTGTTAGTCTGTATCCGCAAAAATAACAGGAGTTTACTTGTGGCACCTTAGAGACTAACAAATTTATTAGAGCATAAGCTTTCGTGGGCTACAATCCACTTCTTCGGATGCATATAGAGCGAAATATATTGAGGAGATATATATACACACATACAGAGAGCATGAACAGGTGGGAGTTGTCTTACCAACTC